ATGCCATAGTGTACTATGTTCATGACACATTTTGGGTTTTCTCTTAGATGCAGACTTTCCACCTCTAAAGCTAAGTTGCCTTTTCCTCTTATGTGAAGATTCCAAACCACAGGGTGTGAAGTCATAACTTTTGGAAAAATGCTAGAGATTGTTAATACAGTTGCGTATTCAGGATACTGGAGAGAGATAATCAAATCTTTCTTGCAGTCAGGAGCCTGGAAATGCAACAGTTACCTTTCTGTCGGATTTCTTACAGAATTTGTGGGGGAAAAAAAAAAAAAAACAACAACCAAAAAACATTTGCTTGTGCCAGTGAGTCAGTATTCCTGATCCAGCCCTTTTTGATAGCTTTGGCTCAAGAAGAACAACTTCCTTAGGAAAACATTGAACTGTTCAATATGCAACTCATCCTGACAATAGTTGATAGGGCTGAACTCCAAAATAGTAAGATGTGGGTAATGGGACTGTGAAATCTAATGTTGAGGAAACACACATCTTTTTTTAGTTAAATCCTATCTGCCATAGGTATCGTTTGGTTTTCTGTTGTAGTTATTATTCTCCCCATTTATTTAAATCAGCGCCTTCAGTAGCGGAAAAATTCTCCAGCTGTACCACTGTTGTGCTTATGGCAGCTGCCTGGCTGTTTATTAGATCAATTTTTTTATGATGCAAACATTTTGCAGTCTCTTCTGACAGAAGAATTCTGGAGTTGTGTGGCGTGGCAGAGCCTGCACCCCTGTGCTCGTCTCAAAAAGACTCCTCGTTCGAGCAATGCTCCCCGAGCTCCTCACGCGGTGGAGCCCAGGGGTCCCAGACCATGCCTGCCTAGGGACAGGGTCCTAACCCCTGCTCCTCTTCACTCGAAGGGGTCGTTCGTGGGAACAGACGCCTACTGCCACTGGGTGGCAGCAAGCCTCCGGCCCACGCGTTTCAAAAGGCCAGTCACCCATTTCCCGACACCCGCGTTCGGTTTCCTATCGCATCTCCTGAATACGGGAGTACTTCTGCTTACACTGGTGAAAGCTATTGTTCGGCTCTGCTGTTTGTCCTTCTTGTATTCTGGTCTGTGCTTTTTACCTGGAGCGGAGAACAGCTTTCTGACCTGCTGTGGATACTGAAGAGTTGCTTTTTTCACCGTTCCTCCCCTTGCTAGTAGTGTGCTAATGTACCTCATTAACATCGTGTCCAGCTTCAAGTTAGTGCAGATTTGTTTCTGACAGTTAGCTTCAACCTCTAGGGTAACAGAAGTTCCCTGCTGGGTTGGTACAGTCCAGTGGGACAAAGAATTTCACAAAACAGTACAGTCTCCACTCACCGCAGAAATACTCTCATCCCCTACCCTTACTTATCTGGGTTTGCATAATGATTTTATCTCATATGATTTTAATGAAAAATGCCTTCTGTAGCTTACTGAAGCTAAGTCCAGACAGCAGGAGTAAGTTCCCCTTACCAGCTAATGAAACGAGACAGCCTCCAGAAAGTTGAAATAACCTGAATAGCAGAATTCAGTTCATACAGAGGATTTGCAGCCAGCTACTTCCTTTTTCAACCACGTTTTAATCTTTAATTTGTTCATGGTGAGAGATTCACATAGACTTTTCATTTCTAATCACAGTAGACCTTCTGATTAAATACCAAATAGTTGTATGGAGTTTGGCAAAACTGTGTTTAAATTAGATTGCTTTCCTGTAAATTATATTATTTCCTTCCTTGTGCTTGTTTCATGTAAGAAGCTTAAATGCAAGTGAGTATTCAAATAAGGAGAAAACACAAGGTGCTAATGAATGTAACGTTGTGGGATCTTATGAAGCACATAGGTGGTAGGGAACAGGAACCAGTCCCTCCTGTCAACCTTCATTTTCACAAGAGATTTGCAGAGTGCAGTCCTCCCATTTGCAAATGAGAGCTAGCTGAAGTGTATAGTCAACATTCATTTCGAATGAATATCTAGTTAATAGTCCTCCAAAATAAATAAACAGAAAATCCAATACTTGGGTAAAAAGAGATAATGTAAAATTACTGTTTGGAAACTTTGTTAGGAAAAGAAATCATGTTTCTTCTCCTTGAGACATGCCTTCAGAATTTCTGCCTTTACTCTTCAAGCTATGAACCGAGATTCAATAAACAAACATTGGCAAATCTTGCTGAAGTGGTTTTAGGAAGATCCTGTGTACTTGTCCTCTCTGTTTGAGGCTGCCACTCCTACAGTGAAACAAGTGCCTGAGCCTCAACAACCATTGAAGGGGAGCTTACATTCATGTGTCGTGCCGTGCATTTAGTTGCTCCAAGAAAGGAACCTGTTTACTCTTGCTGAAATGTGGGAAAACCCCAGCGAAGCGGTAAATAGTTACACAGTGAGTGTAGTTTACTTAAACTACCCTATCAAGAACAACTAGAGATCATCTGCCCATGT